ATCTGCCATTTATTTGCCCAACTCACTAAATGATTTAAATCCTTTTGTAAATCAGCAGCATACTCTTCACAGCTAGCAACACCCAAAACCTTAATATCAGCAAATTTAAGTAATTTATTGACTATTCCTTCATCTGTGTCATTGATGTAAATCAAAACTAGCAAAGGTCCTAAGACTGAGTCCTGAGGTACCCTGCTTGTGACATTAATCCAGTTTGACCGAACTGTATTTGTAACAACCCTCTGCTTTCTTCCATCCAGCCACTCTTCTGTCCAATTTGCTAACTTATCCCACACACCTATAGAAATAATTTTTTTATAAGCCTTTTATGTGGCACCTTGTCAAATGCTTTCTGAAAATCCAGATACACCAAATCTACACCCTTATCCTTATCTACATAAGCAGTAACCTTTTCAAAGAATGTCAAAAGATTTGTAAGGCAAGATTTTCCCTTAGTGAAACCATGTTGACTATTCAATAATATTCTAAATTTTGTTAAATGACTTTGCAAAGCATCTTTTAACAGACTTTCCAAAACGTTTCCTACAACGTATGTAAGACTAATGGGTCTATAATTACTGGGTCAATTATTATCACCTCCCTTGAAAATAGTAGTGGCATTAGCTAACTTCCAATTCTCTTGTACCTGCCCACTATTCGAGGGCTGACAAAAAATAGTAGTAAGTGGCTCACAAATCCAATCTTTAACTTCCTTCAAAACCCTTGGGGAAATATTATCTGGCCCAGGAGTCTTATCATTTTTTAAACTTCCCAATTTTTTCTTAAACAGCTCAGAATTAATGCAATCATCTTGTCCAATCTTGTTTCCATTTATAAAGATGTGGAATACTGCTTAAATCTTCGTTAGTAAAAACAGAAGAAAAAGCAAAATTTTATATATAGATAGATAGATGTAGATTTTGTTGTAATGGATGATACAATACCTTGTCACAAAACATGCACAGTTAATGTTCTTATGACCTTTCTTCTTTTGACCAGATATTTTCTGTGACATCCTTTGTTTAAAGTACACTCAGAGCTTGAAGTGAGGAGGAGGAGGAACACCATAATCATCGTTAAAAATCAATTTTGTCCCCCTTTTTAACAAAATCATGCTCATGGTAAAAAAATTTCATCAGTATTACTTCACCGACTGACAGCTGCTCACAGCTACAAATATAATGATTCTCCCCGTGTCTAATATTATCTCCAGTAAACTTTGTTTTGTGTTTGCTCTAAATGTTGCTTTTATGTAAAGTTATTGTTAAATCTTAGTTTTTATCTAATTAGTGACTAACAAATGAGGTAATTCAACTGACAGTTAATTTACATATCTTCCAGTATAGTTACGATGTAGCCCAGATGTTGTAGCTAGTGTTAACTTCAACTTGAGGTTTCATTTACACACATCAAAATCTTAGTTTTCTTGAAACTCAGTTTTTTCTAAAAAATAGTAAATAAATAAAGTACTCAACAGTGATCTACCGCAGTACATTTTATTAACAAAAGTAAAAAAATTATAAATAAATACGGTAAACTTCAAAATAATTGGGTATAATATTTTTGCTAAATAATAATAGAAAATAGCTAATAAAAATAACAAAATGTAATTGAGATTATTTAACTACAAGAAATAACGAGAAATCTGACCTATACATTGTTTCTGCTTCAACATCACCAAACCAAACTTTCAAGACTGGAGTAAAATTCTCGCCAGTCAACTCGAGCATTGCAACATCTCCTCCCCCATTCAACTGTTGAAAGACAGATATTTCTTACTAAGCAACGTCTCTGATGCACACATGGTTGGAATATTTTACAAAAGTACAAGATAAATCTACAATTAACAAACACAAACAAAAAAACTTGATACACAACATGTATTCCAAAATGTGCATTAAACCATTTTATGTTCTGAAAAACTGTTCTGTAAATTTAATTCTGTAACATTCTATCGTATCATTAGATCAGAAGAGATCATTGTCATAGTTAATACTGGCAATAGGAAGGAAGTGTAATCACCAGAGTTATGTCGAATATCTGCTAGTTAAAAAAATATTATATTTAGTGCACAGGTTCCTGACCCGTGCAATGTATATTCCTGGGAAGTACATGGAATCCTTTCTGTGGGCATGCAAAAATTTTTAAAAAGAAAATAAGCACCATACCTGTGAGTTATGAATGCATTTCACTAGCCAACATTCAGCATTTGGATATTGTTGACTCACCTTTGAGTGAATTCTTTGGATTTACTTTTTTATTATTTCAAATCATTCTTTTAAGTTGTTTTAAACACTTATATGTGTATCAGGAGTTGCTGCTGGCTAAAAGGCCCATTGGGTATAGGTGGCATAAAAAATTTGGGAACCACTACTTTAGTGCATTCTACAATTTTAAAAACAAACTCAACTATATCACATGGAGATAATTTGTAAGTACAAAAATAATAGTAATAATAATAAGAACATTATTCACATCACAGCTTTCTGCAATATTAGTGTTTGAGATATACATGCAGTTATAAAATCCTGATGCATCCTGAAGTCTGTGACAAGGTTATATGTATTTTGCTAGAGGGTCACTCACTGTTAATATCTCATACTTACCTTTTTTATTAACAGTAATATTTAGAATCTGATATCTCACTATAAACACATTGAATAATGTGAAACGATCCTTATTCCTATGTTCATAAAAATCATAATTAACAATTTCATAACTACTGTGAATTTGTGTGTATATATTGCTGAATATGGAAAATATTCTTCCTGGTAAGTTAACAATCAATGATTGTAAAGCAAAATTTGACATCTGTATACTCACATGGAGACTGAATACAACTGGCACTGGTGTGACTGGAGAATGAACAGGCCCCATTCCTTCATAAAATGTGTACTCTGCTTTGTCTGTGCTGATAATAGTCCACGAAGCGCCGTCGTTAATCATTTCTTTGAAAGGTTCTTTAGGGCATGGCGTTGCCTGACAAAGTTTAATTTCAAAACTAGATCTTTTAAGTTGCACAACATAAACTACGAAACAAGCAACAAAAATGTACACACACAGACAAAAGAAAAAACCAATTTTGGAATAGATCATAATACTTTTTATAACAACAAGACCTTATAAAAGGGAAGAATTAATTTTAAGTGGAAAGAACAAAAAGTGATGCGAGTGATATGAAAGCATCTTAATAAATGCTAACACTTCAAACTCCTATGATAAACCAACTATAAGTATTGTAATTAATATTGACACTTCTAATTCATATGATAAACCCAGTGAGAGTATCTGAATAATCAATGTTTATATTTCAAATTCACACGATAAACAACTGTAAGAATCTTAAAATCAACAATGGTAATTCAAAATCACCTGGAACTACATGAAGCAGGCACACAGGTATTTACCTACAACTGCATGCAGTAAAAACACAGGTATTTACTTTAAACTCTTACTATTCTTTCCTTGGATGGACAGAAATATTTACCTGGAACTGCAAATGGTAGAAAGAAACAAAGTTATTGAAAACTGTGCGAAGTACTTACTTGGAATTGTATTATCCTCTCCTGGGAGAGACAGAGGTACATTCTTTCTGTGTCTTTCATGAAGAAAGAACACTTGTGAAGTTGTGAGACAGGATCACTAGCATCTAAAAGTGCTGTCTGTTTGTCCACTTTACGAACTACCTACAGACCAAAAGAGAGACGTATGTTATAGCTAATTACATGTGAAACTAGGTGTTTATGTGATTTATGTAACTGTGGTATCATAAAACCTTTTAAATTTGTGAATGTATTCAGGGTCACAGCAAACAAGTCCTTACAAATAGAGTAAGACAAATGATATCAAACTAATCAGGTAGTAAACAGCTTCTGAACACATTCCTCTTGCATGCTTATTCTTGGCTAAATTCTTCTAAAGTGACAGATTTACCTGTCAGACACATGATCAACAAACGTTTTTGCATATGAATGTTAGTAGTGCAAATAATATTTTACACAATCAAAGGGAACTGCCATACGGATGATTACTGGGGAAAAGTTGACAAAAACTGCCCCAAAAATAAATATTTTAAAGTTTCCTTGATCTTGAAATTTTATAGAAAACTAATTAGAAATAACTTTAATAAATCCAGCATAACACCAGGAAAAGAGATAATATTTACTTTCTAAGTATACAGATTTGGAAAAAGATCATGACATAAAAGCGACAAATACGCAAAGATAAAGAGCAACAAATGTTATTTGGTTTATCAAATTGCCACAAAGTATTTGGTATTGAAAAGTTCCAAATTAACTTGAAGATTTGCATCAAGTATTTTTCAGATCAACGGTTTGTACATAGCTCTTGGACAATTTATAAATCCACAGAATCTGTGGAATGAAAGGAGATATCATAAAACGTATTATGTTAATGAATGAGTAAATGTCAGACAAAACAGAGTTCATCGTGCTTTACGTACAACCTACCAGTCGAGGAAGTGCCATTCCAGTGACAGAACAAACTAACTTGACAGTTGAACCATAGTGAATGTAGCCATCTCGAACTGTAAACTCTTCAGATTCAGATTCATTATCATCCACTGGAAAGAAAGAATCAGCAAGATGAAGAACAGTTCCCAAATTAATAAATAAGTAACGTTTATGAGTCTTAACTATATCCGTTTATACTGCTAAGAACTGTTCTTTCTCTCTTTAGTAAAGAAAAACAAAAAGGTAAAATATGCATCACTGTTGCTATCATCCACTGACTAGAAATACTAATTGAAACACTTTCAATTTAACAAAATTTGAGAGGTATCTAGTGGATTTTAGGCCAATTCAATAATTACTATCAATTAAAAATTTTTGTTTCTGTCAAAAAAATTGGAATTATCTGTTTTATAAACATCATGAGGTTTTAATTATACAAAGTAAGAGCAGATGTTCAGTGAGGAACATACTGAACAGAATAATTAATTCAACAAATTTTGAATTAATTAAAGTGAGATTAGCTTTAAATAAACTAAAAATGTTGCTGAAATACACCATAATTAGGTATAAACATTTTACATTTAAAATAAAGAATTTACAGGAAAAGAAGTTAATGATTAAAATCAAGTTTTAGTGAGTTACATCACAGAGTTTTTAACTTCAGAAGCAAATTCAACCATTTAATATAGATGATAAAAACACTGAAATTTTCACAGACCTTGAGTGACATACTTTGGACACTTAGAAGATATTATTAGTTAGATTTCATAATTTTTTGGATGAACTCTATTGATTAATGCTCACTTTGCAGAATACTTACACAGATGTATAGTAAAAGCTCCCCACTGAGTGGAACTAGCATGGAAATTTCCATTTTCTACATGTAAGTATCGAGTGCTGACAGTCTGAGATCGAAGCCGATTGAAGAGTGCAATTTTTGTTCCTGACGCTATACACACTGCAATAAAAAAATCAAACCAATCCAAATCTCCACTGGAACTATGAACACTACATTTCTCAGTTTACTATGATGGTTTCAAAAATTTCTGGTTTCATGTAATTCTTCTTCTACATCATACTGTTTTAAAGCATTTGACAAAATATAATTTTCTTCTTACTGTACCTTAAAAGAACAAGGAGAAAAAGTCCCCAGTGTCTAACTTGTTAAATTATCTAAATATACCAATTGTGATTATTACCCAAGTCTTTTTGAAAAAAAAAACGTTTTAAACATTTAAAGTTCTAATATAATTCACAATAAACTTCCCAACCTTTTTCACTTAAGGGTGGGAGTTTTCCATGTATAGATGATTTTCCATCTTAGGAATTGTGGGGGTATTATGAAAATTTAAGAGGAACATCTCTTCTATTACTATACATATTAACCTTACAAAATAATTTTTTGTAGTTTTACAATTTGCAAATTGGTGGTGAACATTATTTCTGTCAAATCTCATTTATTGCTGTCATTTGTACTCATGTTATCACTGACAGCATGGCTGTATTATTCCATTTATCTAATATATTACTAAGACTAATTTGATCCCAAATTTTCCTTACATTTTTATTAAAGCATTTTAAAATATAATCTTTTTTTATTCATCTTCTCTCAAGTCATTCAGCTACAAATAACATAAGGTTAAATAGAAATTGGTCTAACCTTTGTTCACTCATCTCTTCTTTAATATAATGAGAGATAAGAGATGCTTATTTATTATTCAACAAGAAACCCTACAATAGATCTGACTGAAGAAGCATTGGGACACAAATGTTATTCAGGGATGAACCGAAAATGACAAAACTGATTTAAGAGAGAAATCAAGGCTGTGGGAATAACTGTAATAAACTTTTTAATAGAATGAGTGTAAAACATCAAACTTCTTCAAAATCACATACCTTTTGCATTAAATAATTTGTTTTGTGAGAGATTTACTGAAATGTTTGATCAAAAAGGTTGCTGTCACTTATATACCTTAGAAATGAGTACTACAGTTGAATTTGAATGATGCAAATAACCTGTAGCCACTCTGTATTCAGTGAATAAAAATTTATACAAAGTTGATATAAACCTTTTTAATAATTACTCAAAAAATGAGCAATAGATTTGTTACTTACAATCTGCATTTTTAAGAGATTGCTTTTTCTTTGATGGTTTTGAAATTACTTTGATTCTCTTGCTATGAAATACACCAATGTCTTCACCATTTCCATAAAACATTTTAACAGACAACATGAAGTGTTTCCGCTTGTCTGAATCGCTTATGTACAAAGTTTTCGCAGCACAATAGTTCTACAAGAATAAAAAATCACGTATTTCATTATTAAACCAAAAAAAGGAAAATACAGATAATGACTTTGAAATACATTGATATGCATGTTTCTTATAAATAAAATTCACAATGCCTGTTTGTACCTTATTAATCTCACATGAAGATACATCTTATTCCAACATTCCAATAAACATTACAACTTTTAAATAACACTGTTCTTTATTAACCTATCACGAAAATACATCCTATTAAAACATTCCTATAAACATTAAAACTTTTAAATAAGACTTTACCTTATTAACCTATCAAATAGACACATCCTATTACAATGCTCCTATAAACATCACAACTTTTATATAAGACTGTATTGGTTTCAAATAGCCATGATATGTGACAAGGCCTTCTGGATATTGGATATGTACAATGCTTTAGTGATAAATAATACCAAACATTATAAACTTTACCAGAAAGACAATGTAATTAAACCCAAGGACCCAAAAATACACAGAGATCAAACTAATCATGTATATCTTCCCATTATGTGAAGATCAAGCTAATTACGTATACCTTCCCATTATACAGAGATCAAGCTAATCACGTATACCTTCCCATTACAAAGAAATCAAGCTAATCACGTATACCTTCCCATTACACAGAAATCAAGCTAATCACGTATATCTTCCCATTACACAGAGATCAAGCTAATCACATATACCCTCCCATTACAAAGAGATCATGCTAATCACGTATATCTTCACATTACACAGAGATCATGCTAATCACGTATATCTTCACATTACACAGAGATCATGCTAATCACGTATATCTTCACATTACACAGAGATCATGCTAATCACATATACCTTCCCATTATACAGAGATCATGCTAATCACATATACCTTCCCATTATACAGAGATCATGCTAATCACATATACCTTCCCATTATACAGAGATCATGCTAATCACATATACCTTCCCATTATACAGATATCATGCTAATCACATATACCTTCCCATTATACAGATATCATGCTAATCACGTATACCTTCCAACTATACAGAGATCATGCTAATCACATATACCTTCCCACTATACAGAGATCATGCTAATCACATATACCTTCCCATTATACAGAGATCATGCTAATCACGTATATCTTCCCATTATACAGAGATCAAGCTAATCACATATACCTTCCCATTATACAGAGATCATGCTAATCACATATACCTTCCCATTATACAGAGATCATGCTAATCACATATACCTTCCCATTATACAGAGATCATGCTAATCACATACACCTTCCTATTACACAGAAATCAAGCTAATCACATATACCTTCCCATTATACAGAAATCATGCTAATCACATATACCTTCCCATTACACAGAAATCAAGCTAATCACATATACCTTCTCATTACATGAAGATCAAGATAATCATGTATACCTTCCATACCTTCCCATTAAAGTCCAGTTGCTGCATTTCCTGGTCAGAATTTCCAATCCCTATAAAGGCACACAGCTGTGCACTCTGATCATTCTCCCCATCTCGAACCATCTGTTGCTGTTTCTTTCGCCAACCATCTCCCAAAAGGTAAATACATGGTGGTGGACAAAAAAACCTACAGTCGAAAACAAAGATGATAATATTACTAAGTAATACTCACACAATTACACCACAAAGTTACACACTTAATCAGACACTAAGCAATATATGTTATTACGGTATTAAGCAACAAACAATTGCACTACTAAATAACACACACATTTTGGTTGAACTTTATCTGTGTTTTACATTTTGAAACTAAAAAGAACAAAGTGTGTTGGAATATACTGGGCTGAAACAAAAGAGAAAATAATTACATCGTCTTGGTCTGCATTTAAACATGTCACATACTTTTAATGTGAATTTAAACACTTGTCACAGTCTTCATGTGTGTTTAAATACATGTCACAGATATAATCTGCATTCAAATACGTTACATAATTTTGCTGTACATTTAAACACATCACACAGACTTAATATGCTAGGGGTTTAAACATGCTACAGATTTAATTTGCATTTAAATACATCACATGGTTTTGCTGTGTTTACACACATCACAAAGTTTTGCTGTGTGTTTACACACATCACAAAGTTTGCTGTGTTTAGACACATCACATAGTTTGCTGTGTTTAGACACATCACATAATTTTGCTGTGTGTTTAGACACATCACATAGTTTGCTGTGTTTAGACACATCATATAATTTTGCTGTGTGTTTA